ACTTCAATCCTTCTACCATTCAATTCGTACCCATCGTACATAGCTAAAATAAAAATAACCATTTAGCTTAATGACCCTAAATTTCATCCTTCCCAATTCCTCCTTCTTCCTACTTTTATACACAAGCCAAGACAAATTCCCATAATTGTTTTCACATACAAATCGCATTTGCAGCATCTCCCGGTGTCTCAAAAAGAACAGTCCCTGACCCTTTAGATCGTCTATCTTGACCAATGAGTATATCAGCTCGAATAATGTTTCCTAGCAAAAAGTATCAAAGATTAATTTAACGTATTAACAATATATTATAATATAGACACAGCCTACCAGCATTTCTAAAAAGATCTTTTAATTCTTGCCACCCAACAGAATAGGGTAGCTGTTTATTAAAAAAAAATTAAAAATAAATAAATATATATACAAGAAATTCAATGCAACCCATCAAGTTGAATATTTAAATAGAAAGATTATTGCACCTACGTTTCCTACATAAATTTGTCTACCAGCATTACCACCGCCAACATTTGCAACATGATGACTATTATTACTATTGTGAACTGGTAATGATCTATCAGGCCTAATACTTAATCCAGTACCAAATTTTGCTTCAGTCTCCCGGTCCTAATGGTTTACAGAAGATAAAAATTCTATCCATAAAAGGACATGATAATGTTTCAATTTATGAATACCTCGCGAATAAACACGGGTCTCCCGAGTAATTGAGTATCATTAAGTGTTTCTATTGCTCTCCGTGCATCTTCCGGAGTACGATATTCAACAACACTAAATTTAGAGAAGGTTAAAATAAACGGTCTTGTATTAAATAGCCATACGCTATTCAATGTAATTTACCCGCATCCCTATTAAAACAATTGAAAATTTAAGATGCTAATAACTTTCATTGGCTAACCTATATATTAACGAAATACATACTTTAGACATGCCATTAGGTTGCACCAAGACATCAGCAAAAACAACTTCACCGGCTTGAAGTGTGAAATTAAAATTATTAGTAAATGTACAGGAAATTTAACCATAATTATGATCATTACCTTGACGCATGAAATCTTTTAACTGAGCCCATTTTACTTCATAAGCCAAATTTCCAACATAAACGCGACATTCTTTTTGTGATCTTTGTGAGGCATTTATTGCTTTAGAACAAATGTGAAGCGAGATCGAATATTATTGATTGATTAATACAAGGATTTACGGTAAGTAATATTTAATATCGAATGTCAAACCTTGTAGACCATTGGATGGCATCGGATTATTCTTTGACATA